TTTTTTCAAACATTTTGTTGATGTTATATTTCTTCGAAACGTGATCGGCGTCCATTGTTTTTGATTTTGTATTTATTGGTGATTGTATTACTTTAACAAAAAGCATTATATGAAAAATTATTGTTACACATGCATTTTAAAAAGCGTCGCAAGTGACTGATCCGCGAGGAGAAAGGTTCCAATCGAAGTTTTTTTATTTTTTCACCTGCGCCTCGATTCGTAGTTATTCCATTATTTTTTACCCTTGGTATATTAGTAATGGAGTATGGTAGAAAGCGGTYCAAGGAACGACGTGTCATGTGGCATTGATTACTTGGACACGTCGAGTCGTATAATTGCAAGGTCTGTCAACTTATGAATAAGACGCTAACTCAAAAGACGTATTACAAATGTTTWATAATAATAAACATTTTTGAACATTTATTTTATATTCGATTTTTTTTAGAATACTTTTATAAAAAAGAGGAATCGCTATAGTAATTTTAAATCTATTTTTGGTAAAAATGAATGTACCAATATATCGAAAAGAATTAGTAAATGTTTTTAAACATTAAAATGTTATATTATTGCGTGTAATTGAATTGCGCAACTTTACAGTCTTTCAAATGAGTATCTATCCTTTTTCTGGTTTCATACTGTAATGAGTCTGAAATAATACTCTCGACCCTTCGCTGGCTAAGACAGATGAACCGAGATGTAACTTTGCACTATACTGACTCGTGACTAGGAGCCGTTTTACTAGCCCCCTCCCCAGGCAAATCGTTTTTCTTCTTTTGGGCTTCCTTTTGTAATGGTGATCTTGTCCGAGCCCGTGATTCTTAGTGATGCCTACGGAGGAAGCTATAGAGCCGTTTTGCTTCCCTGTATTTGAATTTTCATGTGATCTGAGCCTGCCGTTCACACGAGATTGCAATCGTTTTCTTTCCGGGATAAATTACACTAGTAAAACTTTACACTTAAACGCAGTCCGCAAAAACTMTGAACTGTGAAAGAATTACAACTCTGCGTTGTTCACCTATATAACTATCATTAGCGTAATCTTTATGCGTGCCAAAGTGTTTTGCGCTTCGGACTTTACCGATCCCGAGGCGAGTGATAACCTGATTCGTGGTAATTTTCGCGGGCACTGATTTCGCGTGTGCATTACTCGGCGCGTTTTGGCCAAAAAAATTACTTTAGATGGGCATTTTTGCTTTAACATTTTTAAATGGGTCATTGATTTCGAAATCAGTTCGAATTAGGTACTTTTTCGTGGCTCAAAAAGGACAAAAAGTGATCACTTTGTCAAGAACTGGACACACTTTCGCGCCATTTTTACGGAGCGCCCCGGAGCTGACCTGAAAAATCCAAATGGCCGAAAAAGTCAAGTCTTAGTTTATGAATACCAATAGARCTTTGACTGACGTGATAAACAACCAGACAATTATTTCAGCTTACGTGAAATGAAGCACAAATCCTCCGAAAGAATTCACAAAAYTCTCAAAACAGAGAAACGAATATGAGTCATCTGTCAAAACGTCAATCATGGGACGTCACACGTTATGAAATGCGACCCTGGCCTCCGCAGTCAAGGAGTCGATGCCATCTTTTATTGTACCGCCAAATCTTACACTAGTGGCGTTTTGATATGAAACTGTGCGATAAACCCATGCAGAAAACATGATATCAAAGTTGAGAGTCGTTATGTRTTCGRAGGTGAGTGTCGTTATCTTCAATATCCAAGAGTAACTAAACTATTTAGTATATTCAAACTGATTTGTGTCTGATAGTATCTTGGAGGTCTGAGAGTGTTTGGGTTGCATGGAATGAACCGTAGACATTACTATCCSATGAAGTTTTCAAYACTTCTCTTTCTTTGTTTTACATTTGYTGTATTATGTGGCATTATTTTAGGCGAAGAGTTGATGTAAGTTATGTTTTCTCATCCAGTGTTCTTGTCCGTGCACGATATTATTACGAGAGTTGTATTTTGTGTTTTTAGTACACATATAACAATCCCATGTCATATTGAGAACACATTGAGAGACCTTTAGAGGTCTGAGGCAATGACAAGGTTGGTTTAGTATAATTGTATCATGTTTTCTTTCCTCCAGGAAAGAAAATACTGAACCTAGTTAGTTATGAATTATGTAGCTTTACGCGATAAACAACTAAAACAAACCAGATAACGTTGAATAATGATATTTACAGATGTCGATACCATAAATCCGTGAAATAAATCTTTATAGACAAATATGAATACAAAGAAAATAAATTAATCATGGTTAAATATCAAATTAGACGTCTATTCGACTTWAATAGATATAATAGTATATACAGTGTATAGTGAAAGTACGTATACTGTAGGGATCAATGAAATACGGCTAAATACTCGTTTATACACATTTCAAAAGGTCATGATTATCAACAAACCCCTAATACCGACCAGATCAGTTGTAGAACGGYCTTTGTGTACTGAATGCGGCTTTGATTCAATCCCGCGGACAAGCTAGAGATTCTTGGCGTATTTAAAATTGCGTAATATTAAAAGAGAGACCTTTCTTCGAGTTAAACTTTGTCGCTTTCTTGTTTTAATCTTTATATAGAAAACTTTAAAATAGTTCGAGGTTTTTTTTGACCTTTTGTAAACGATCACGCCAACCACATCCGGTCATAGATAATGCYGAAAACCGTACGGCTTTTGTACTTAGGAGATAACATGACACAACACAGTCCGTGAAATAAAAACCGGTTCACATATTGTGTTCAGTCATCTCAATAGTAATCGTAGTCGCCCGCAGTTTTTGTTGACAATCAGACCATTTTTTCACTGGTTCCGTTCGACTGACAACCGGACTTCTCAGCCGAATGACTCMATCTTTGGTTATTGAAGTGTGTAAACAGTTCTTGGTATAACMGGAACATTCCTGTCCTGCCTTTGTTTCATAGTATGCGGAAATAATAGTGATTTACTATTGAGACACACCCATAATCACGTCAGGSTAGTACCCAGGCATTTCTTCATAGCGCGGTCAGTAACAACCATTTGAAACATGCATGATACCCAATGCCAATCGTCCTWTTAACAGCTGGACGACACTACGCCAGACAGTATTTCATCGTCTGTKAATATGGGTGGCCGACTTCCCTATCCGCATCGATGTCCGTAATGATGATGATGATTATGATGATGATAGCGATGGTGGCCTCATGGTTGTTGATTTCATATTTTTTGATTTGTTTTGTTTCGGTTTTGTTTGTTTATGTTTTTCGTTTTGTTTTGTTTTTTGTTTTTTTTCTCCTGTTGTTGTTGACGTACCGTTGGAATTTTAGAAATAATGAATGTTGATGATGGCGATTGTCTTTCGCTGCCAGAGGAATCGATTGGAAGGCAGGCGCTTAGCGTCCTTTACGCATATACGCACGTGCGTACTAGTGGCAAGGAAATATTAATATTTTAACAAAAATTGCTGAAAAATTCACATAAAATTGATCCCTTTTATATGCCCTCGATGTCTCCTGAAACGCTGCAAATCGCATTTTCTAGAGTTATTATTTCAAATTATTTTAGGGGAGGTCCAGACTCCCTTAATACTCCCGCCTTTTGCGGTCGTTAGACATATCCAAAATGTRTGTCGCGGTCCCTGACATGTGCGTACAAGTCCACGCTACGCACCATGGAAAGTTTTATCACCGAAAAATGGAGTATTTATAATTTAACGCGAAATTTTTTACATTTCAGCAATGTGCAAAAATGCAATTCATAGCCTCATCTAGATGTTGACAGGCTTAGCCTTTGCTGTGTCAATTATGAATGATTCCAAAAGGTAAGGAAGGGACATGAGAACATGCATGCAGTTCCCATAACTCAATGACTCTCTGTGAAAAATATTAGATATTTATTGAAGACTGAGTTTATATTATACACCTCTGAGCTTATAATTAATGTAAATATCTGACGCAGTAGCTATCAGCTGTTATTATCTATGGGAAATAAGCGGTCTTTTACATCGGAGTCACACGGAATCCAGGATCTTGGAATCCGGAGTCCAGGAACGCTCCGAATTCTTGTCACGGAACGAACAACTTATCGAGAGACTAAGCGCGCCCGTATAAAATGAATGTAACTCTATAGTCTATTGTATTAGTAGCTAGCAAGAGAAAGAACTAGCCTGCGTACATCCGGGTGTTTACGGGTAAACGCTGGATGAACTCAGGCTAGAGAGAACGTGATACTCTTTAAATGGTCCTGAGCCACATGTACATCAAGCATTATGATTGACTGTGCACTATAGTAAATCTATGATCTATTCATGCTCWAGACCATTCTCTCATCGAGAAAAGCGAAAAAGTTAAGTACATTTGTTCTTTTATGTTCCCATGAACGATTTGAGACCTCGTAGTCTGAACATGGAGTTTTATCGCTGGTCAATCATACTGACTGAGATTAAACTAACACAAATTGTGAAAAATATAAAGCAAAACAAACGGCAAAAACAAACCAAAAATCAACATAGTATCATAAGAAAACCAAAACAATTCTGAATCAAATATATCAACTGGGAAAGCTTTCTTTTCGAGTACTTCCTTCTCATTTTTCGATTGTTCTATTTGATAATTTTGAATAATGAATTATCCAAAATAACTTATGAATCATCAAAAATTCAGCATTATTAGTTTTGATTGGACTATGTTCTATTCACGTTAGATCATGGTCACATCGGACGAAGCGAAATAAAATAGTCGAAAAAAGGCAAGAAATGCTGTATTTTTAAAATTTGTACTATAGTTTGATGGATACTGAAACATTCGGATGAGTGCACTATTAACTTGTCCTCTCGACCGTGATATCGTGATACTACCTAGTTTGCAAAGTACTTAGTAACACTTCTTACTTACATATCAGTTACGAGAGGTACCACTGACTTTATGATGTTGCAAAAAAAACCCGCATATTCAGGGTGTCGGGGTGTCGCAGTCACAACTATGTTCGCCTGTATCATTTCGTGACATATTTACCTTGTTACTGAAAAACGCAACCCTTTGGTTTCTTYTCTTTTCTTTTTTCTTTTTGGTTTCTTAGTCTCAACAAAACTGTTTATCTTCAAACCGAACTGAAGTTCATTTTTTTCAYGACAATTTTTTGCCATTTTCTAAGTTTTGRATTTCACTGCATTCTCGATTATCTATCTATACCATACCATCCGTAGTCCAAATTACTCACGTAACATAATCTTTTACTACAAAAACAAGTATCGCCGATGAAAATACATGACTAGATCTAGTTTTTGCTAATGTAARTGGTCCTTTTGGCCAATGCAATATAAACCTCTGGGACAAGGATAAGAGTGCCCAATATAAGATAACAAAGTCTCTTGTATCGCTCCTCCCACACCGTCGTGCCACATCGCATTGCTTCACTAGGAAGAGATTGAATTACGCGCCATCCAAAACGACCTACAGTTGATCAAATTCAGTGTTATACTAAGTTCCTCAACTATCCTASCTACTGTTGWMGTACTTTCGAAGCCATTGTTGATACATTSTGGATAAATACTTGTCTATGCTAATAATTCACGTAACGCCGTCGTGCAGGAGACAACTTGAGGGTTATAATGATCCARAATTTGAAAGTTGAATGAAATTTGCTTGAACTCGTCTAGAAAAGYTYTCGACAAAACCCAGGTATGACAACTTAATCATACAGCTAAATGAAGATATTAACTTTTACTAGTAGCACGGTACAAATGATATTTATAGGTATAGTTAAAAGTAAACAATGTTTGTCGAAGATGCCATAATTAATAATTGAACTCTGCATGCTTTCGTATTGTTCATTAAGATCTGTACAACTATCAACATAAATTGTTGCCCTTGTYGCGTAAGATTAGCACTTTGTTCGAACCTACTCGCGTCTAGATCTCCCTGCAGGATGTTCATTGACTCGCAAACTCTTCTCTCATCGAGTTTCTCTTGTCCTTGCCTTGTTTACTTGTTCTAAAGTGAGTATTTTTAACTCCTTGTGTTAAAAAGTACTTTTAGCTAAGTGATAATTGATTAACTGCCCAAAATGATTACACCTTTGCAATGAATGAAGACTAGACTCAACAATATTTTATTAAAACTCCCCCTAAACACACTTCTATCCAAAGCTATTTGAATTATCCCTTCAATCTCTCGTATCAAGTTAAATGATTTTTAGAATTCCTTGTTTGGAGTGATGATGTAATTAAGTATGTATGTAAAATTACTTAAATCAAAAACGTATTAAAATTGTAGAAATAATTTTTCTCAGATCACTATTTAGATATATGGAAATCAATGTTTAGAAGTTTTCCTTCATTGACCGCCGAGATAATTTACGGGTCAGAGGCTCATGTCAGTGAAACAATGTTAATCGCGCGATTGTAAAATAATGAAAAAAGTTTACTGCACAAATATATCATTGTATMTGGAGGAATGGTTTATCATCTCATAAAATGTTCAGTATATTCTATTGGTTATTGTACGAAGAGTTTTTGTTTTGTCACGCACATATGTAATTAACTTGAGTGATGCTATTCATGACATTTGCCGCTTCACCCAATCAGAACAAAGAATGTAAAGTATTTATCAGGGTTTATGGCTATCAGATATAAATATTGATACTGCACCCTGCTTAAATTGTATTCGGCGCGCACTTAACAGAGCCAAGACTTGTAAAGCAAGTATAAATTCAGGGGTAAATATAAATATATAAGCAAATGCCAATACAGTTTCAGGAAAAAAAATATTACATTTTGTATTATTCTTTTGTAGTAATATAAGTTTGACAATTCGATCAATACATATTCAAAATTGCAACCACATTAAGAAATTTAAATTTTTATCTATTTTTATTGTTATTTATCTCGCATTGTATATGATTTTCGGCTTCTGATGATAGTTTTCTTGCTTACAGTAGGGTTTTATTAAGTTTATCCGCGCTTGCGCCAAAATGGATTGTTTCGTGTTATGGAAAGTGTGCTTCAACATTTAGCGGTACTCTTGACCCCATTATACCCTACGCTTCGCGTACGAACAACTCGCTGCTCGCCGCGTATCCGCAAGAGCAACTGGCTGAGAGTAACTCGGAATTGAGATCTGTTTTGGAGTTGCAAAAGTAAAAACCCCAATGCTTGCCGTAGTTTCCGAGTGGTATGTACGATACTGTACTAAGTTTCAGAATCTGCAGTGTAAGCATGTGGTGTAAACATGTATCAATTGCCTTAGGGGTAATTCCTGGATTAGCGGGACTAACGGTCGATAAGAATTAACGACTTGAATGTCATCGGCTTATTCTAATTATTTGATTTAAATTTCGACATCAGCAATATTTCAGTGGGTCAATATACCTTCAAAGAAAGTCTCGTAAATGTTGATAAACACTATGAATTCAAAGCTATGAGAGGTCACAAGTGACAAGCCATCCTGCCGAGCTATGACAAGYGACTCGTAGCCTGATCGTGAGATACCTTAGGGATTCCTATGATTACTTAGCCAGAGGCTGCGGTTTTGTTTTCGGTAGMGTCCATAAAAGCAAACCTACAACATTTAACAGAAAATTAGCACATGTATAACGAAATAGCACATGTGGYGTGCATCGTTATCACCGCGATTAGACTAATGGGAAGGCTCATCCTGCTCATCATCATGAGACGAATCCTTTGCACTCATAGCAGTCATCCCGCTSTACGAAGGAGCACCTATGCCTCTTAAAACAACGAGTGCAATTGCCTTTTACACTGTAACTAGTAATGTTAATGTTTGTTTTGGTGAAATGCATGGTGATATTGATAAAAATATCGATATTTTATTGAATAACTAAAGAGGATGA